ATGTTTCTGAGATTGATTATCTAGCATCTAAACCTAGTACTAAGGTAAAGATGTTAGGGGTAATGATTCTGACAACATCAGTAAAACCTTAGAAACCATTAATGCATGTGATAACCCTCCAAGTGAGAACAATATTGATTCTGAGTGAAAAGCCTGGTCAAGAGAAACCTATTGTTGAGAAACATGTATATGTTCATGTTCTTGATATTAATATTGAAAATATCATGAATGATAATGTGTCTGAAGATGATGAATCTAGTGAAGAGGATAATGAGACCAATCTAGATTGATTACATTCCTTATACATAAGAGGAAAAGTTAGGGATGTCAATGGGGCGGGGCGGGGCCGGGGGGACACTTCCCCATCTTTTTCCCCGCCATCAAATTCATTCCCCGTCTCCGTCCCCGATCTCCGTCACGGGGGAATTTCTATCCCCATCCCCGTTCCCCGCGGATCCCCGTTCCCCGCGGGGATCCCCATAGATCCTACATTTATTCATTAATATTTTATTTTTTTTAAAATGTTTATATTTTCTATAAAAATAAAAAGCACAAAGAATTCACATATTTATTATGTTATTAAAAAATACTAGTATTTGACATTTATTATTTTTTTATTAAAAATACTAATGGAACACAAAATAATAATATTTTTTTTATAAATTTCTATAAAATGCTATAAAATTCAACAAAATGAACTATAATACTTTTTAAAGTAACAATATGCCTAAACAACTAAAAAAATCCAACAACATAATTATGCTTAAAAAACTATACTTCATCAAAACTAATAAGGGATAATTATAAAATTTAGCATCATGAGTATGCTTGAAAAGCTAAAAAATACTTCATAATAAGTCAACTAAAAGCAAAAGTCAACATATCTCTATTTGCTCAATTGATAACACACATAAAGTAGAAATATCAAAATACTTAAAACAAAGTTACATATAAATAAACTAAAATATTAAGCAAAATATCCAAACAAGTAATGATCAATCATGTCTCTCTTTCCAACTTCTCCTTGCAAGGTCTTCTTCCTCATTCCACAATTAGATATGACTTTCTTTTTCCTACGAAAAGTAAACAATCAATAATTATATTTACTTAAAAAAATACTTTAAAAACTAAAAGGTAATCAACACTAATATGTAAATTACCTTATTATCATCATCATCATCATCATCCATATCTTCATCCACACATTCGAATTGAGTCAACGTTTTTGAATAACCTAAGAAACAAATAGCTAAATTAAAATTTAAAAATCCTTTTCAATTAATCTTGTAAAAGATAAAAATATATTACCTTTTATATCTTTTCGGATCCAATCTTGAGTGCACATCAAAGCCTCTAAAGTGTCTTCCTTCAACCTACTACGCTGTTGACTTAAAACACGACCACTAGTACTAAAGGCGGACTTTGAAGCAACGGTAGAGATAGGAATTGCTAAAAAGTCCCTTGCAATCTTTTGCAAAGTTGGAAATTTCAAACCATTTTGTTTCCACCATCCTAAGATGTCAAAATTTTCCTTTTTTTGTTTATCAAGCAAGACACCATCTTCCAAGTAGGAAGTAAATTCTGACTTGACATTTGTAGTTGAAGTATTTTCCATCACATATTCCGAATAAGCCTTCTCCCAATCTTGACTTGTGACATCAATGTCATCTACCAATGTTGATGCACCAACTTCACTACTTGTAGGAACCATATCATTATTTGGTTGATATTCTTCAACTAAATCTTCACACATTTGTATTACCTTTTCCAATTCTTTGGGAGCATTATTCTCATACATAAGTGGGAAGAAGTAATTCAACAAAGTTATTTTATATCTAGGATCCAAAACAGCCCCTATTGCCATCACCCCATTAATCAAACTCCAATATTTGTCAAACTTCACTATCATACTTCTTGCCATACTTTGTATAGTATCACTAGAAGAATCTTCCCACTTTCTTAAAGCTAATCTTATTTGACAAACTTTGGGAAAATAAATGTTTGATGTTGGATACTTAGTACCCGAGAACAACTCAGTGACACTAAAAAATAATTTCAACTTGTCACAAATTTCTCTTGCCATTTTCCAATCTTCTTCACTTGGTGCACACTTATATTGGGAATCACGGCGTTGTTTTAAACGTTTAAAAACTTGTTCGTAAGGCAATGCAGAAGCAAGCATTAAATAAGTAGAGTTCCATCTTGTTCTACAATCTTGTGCAAGCTTCTTTTCATAAGTCATGTTCAATTGATTACAAGTTTCTTTAAATTTCTCCTCCCTCTTTGGTGTTGCTACCCAAAAACCGACACTTTCCCTAATCTTTTCAATTGAACTAGAAATTGTTTGCATGCCATCTTTCACTATCAAGTTTAATATGTGGGCGCAACAACGCATATGAAACAATTTCCCTTTTAAAATAAAAGAAGAAGGTGACATCTTATCAATCAAATGGTCAATCAGAGCATCATTGGTGCTACAATTATCAACGGTTAATGTTGACAATTTTCTATCAATATTCCAATCCATCAAACAATCTACCAAAAAATCACAAATGACCTCAGCAGTATGTGGCGTAGGGACATAAATGAACCTAAAAATAAATTATAATAAATATCACATAAAATAACTATATTATAATAATAACGTAAATGGAAGGGAGAAGTTACCTGATGATCCGATTCTGCAAAATCCAATTTTCATCAATGTAATGAGCTGTAACAGACATATATCCTTTGTTCTGGTTGCTAGCAGTCCACATATCAGTAGTTATTGCAATGCGGCTTTTATTCTTTGCAAGTATTTTCATTTGCTTTGACTTCTCACTTTCATACAACTTCATTATATCATTCTTCATGGTGTTGCGAGAAACTATCTTGAACAAAGGTTGAAGAGAATGGCTATAATTTCTAAAACCAATATGGTTAACCATCATGATGGGATATTCATGCAATATAATCATCTTCGCGAGTTCATTCCTAGAAACATCTTGATTAAATGTATAATTTCCAACCACAAATGATTCATGTCTGTTTCCGGTTTTTTTTCTGTCACTTTAAGCATGGCTTGTTTTGGACCTCTCTCTGTGCGTTTTAGACATATGCTAATATGATCAAATAAATGTTTAGTACCATTTTTTGTATCACCACCAATTTTCTTATCACAAGATTTGCATATAGCCTTCCAAATGCCTCCTATTTTTTGCCTTTTAAAATAGGGTCAAGCATCTGATTTTAATCCCCTTTTGTTAGGACTTGTAGTGGGTTCAACGGGAGCTTCAGGATCTTGATTTTCTATATTTATTTCATTTGGAGTAGATTGAACTTCCTGTGTGAGTGAAACTCCACTACTTTCTATAGGAACTTCATTCCCTTCCAAAGCAACATTAGGACTATTAGATGATTGAACTTCACCAACCATTCTTTTACCAAAAACCTGGCACACACAAACACAAATTTTAAAAGGCTACATGGAAGTAGAACAAAAATAATAAATATATGAAAAAATAATAAATAAATGACATAGTAAATACATGAAATTCACACAAAAAATAATTAATAAGAAAAATCTTATATTTCTAAATATATGATGCATTACACATATTTCTAAATATGCCTTATTTACTGTAACTTTTCAATTAGAAATAATAACATATATTAATTAATTATATACATTGAGAATACATTTATTTACCTATATACATGATATATTTACTCGTGTAAAAAGTTATATGTTATTATTTCACTTAATGGCTTTGGTTTTATAATTAGAAATATAAGATTTTTTTTTATGGGTGATAGCATGATATATTATTGTTTATATGTTATTATTTCATTAATAATTAGAAATATAAGATATTTGGTTTTTTTATGGGTGATACCGTGATAGCATGATATATTGATTCATTTAAAAAGTAATATTTTTTTGTTTAATATAGAAAATTAAATTATAGTGTGATATATTAATAAAAAAATAGGAAAAGTATATTTTAATATTTTTTAAGGAAAAACTGACGATATTATTTTAATTACAAATGCATAGTATAGATAAAAAATGAACACAAAAATATTTAAAAGGAGATAAAAATGAGTAATTTTTTGATTATTTTATATTTTTTTAATATGCAAATGATTTGATAACTCTAAAATTTCTAAACAATTTAATTTAAATTTAATCAAAATAATCAACTTTTCCTATAAGCAATTACATGAACAGGTTTATGAGAATCAAGGAGAAACAATCTACTTTTTTCTATAAACAATAATATAAACAGATTTATGAGAATCAAAGAGAAATAATCTATTTTTTCCTATAAATAATTACATGAACAAATTTATGAAAATCAAACCTTATTGATGAAATTGTAAGAGCTGTGAATAATGGAAGCACACCAAATAGAGAAGATGGAATTGGAAGAGGAAGATGAATGGAGATTTGACTGGAGAAGAAAAAAAGGAGTCTAACGTGTGAGACTCTAAATGTCTGGCAGAAGAAAATGAAAAGTTTCAACTTTTTTAGGATCTAATATTTACATTTCTCTCTCTTAATAAATACATGAATATTTATTTATTTATTTTTATAAATAAACATAAAGGAAATGACTAAAAAACCTAATCTAAAATATATATATTAAATTAACTATATTAAAATAATAGGCGGGGCGGGGGGTGTATTCCCCGTCCCCGAAATGCTCTCGGGGGAATTTTTCTCCCCATCCCCGCCCCCACGGGGGAAAATTCCCCATCTTTGGGGCCCCGAACGGGGCGTTCCCCGCGGGGATCCCCATTAACAGGTCCAAACTGACATCCCTAGGAAAAGTCAAAGAAATTTAATGTAAATAAATTAATGATGAAGAAGTCATTGCTGATGCAAGTTCAGAGAAGGTGAAAAAGGTACATAAGAAATAGAAGAAGATACCCAAATGGATGAACCATAGGCTAGTGAAGAAGGTCTTAGTTAATATGTAAGGGAAGAGGATTGAGGCAATGTTGATGTAGACAAGATGTTGACTACTGAGCCTCCAACCCATAATGACGATGAGGAAGATGTCTCACAAAATCCTGAAGCCGGTGAAGTCCAAAATGATGTAAATGACAAGAGTATTGACGACATTGATGATTTTGTTCCTATTTTTAATGATAGTGAAACCAAAACCAAATCTGAAAAAAGATTCAAGAAAAGAGCTAAGAAAAAGAAATTGGTATTGAAACCCAAGAAGAACCCTACCAAAAAGTCAACCACACCAAACAAGAAGAAGAAAACTGCTAAGAAGAATGATTATGTTACAAAGAAGAAGTGGTCTGAAGGAAATAAATTTTTTGTTGAAAAGTCCACTAGTAAAAATAAGTTTGTGCAAAAAAGGAATACGGTTCTAGAGGTAGAAGTTGTGGAGGAAGATGTCAATAAAAACTTGGATGACATGTTGGTCCCTCTGAACAAGAAAAGTAAGAAGGTCATGGGAAGTAAAAAGTATTTTGACAATGTTCCAATTGCACCCCTTGTCAATGTTTCATTCTACTCTGAAGAGAGTGTGTTGAAATGGAAACACGTGTACCACATGATAATTTCCTCTGAGAGGGAGCTATCAAAGGAAGCGTTGAAATGTTATGAGATCATGGAGCTATTAGAGGATGCATATTTCAAAAAGATTGTGTCTGGAATTATTCCTTTCCATCCCAATATGGTTAAAGAATTCATAGTGAATCTTCCAAAAGGATTCAACGATGCATGGTGTAGCGAGTTCAGGAAGGTTCATATCAGAGGCCACTTCTTTGGATTCTCACCAACCATCGTCAATGATTATCTAGGAAGAGGTAAACTCATAATATATGATCGTATTCCATCTTTGAAGACTATAACACAAGAAATAATTAAAAAATATTATGATGAGTGGCTTGCTAAGGGCCTCCTTTCTGCATCAAGTTTAAGTGTGAAGTATGATATCCTCAACAAATTAGGAGTGGCCAAATGTGTGCCTACCAATCATGGTTCAAGTATCAATCCATATCTTTCTAGTTTACTCTATTAGATAGGTACAAGAGCTGCATTTGATTTTGGTGAGTATGTCTTTGAGAAAATTTTGAAACAAGCTGAATTGTTTGCTATAAAGCTGCCTAATGCATTTCTATATTTGATTACTAACATTCTTGTATAAAAAAACCATATTTTTTTACTAATGAGGATAGTGTTGGAGTTCCTCATAGCCCCCTAAATTTTAGTTGCATGTTATTTTCTAAGAAACATGTTCCAAACATTGTGCTCTACAACCTTCGAATCTTTGGTGAAGTAGATTTGTCAACAGGTGTCAATCTGCCTGAGGTCCCTCCCATGTCAGGAGGTGAAAGAGAACATGTGTTAAATGATCTTATGTAGGTCTCCAAGGTCTCTAATAATCTTCAAGAAATAATTTCTACCTCAACTATAAGGAAGAGTAAGGTTGATGGTTTGATTCAAATGACGAACCCCAACATTTTTGTGGCTTCCACCTATTAAGATATATGTTAGGATGCTGAGAAGGTTGTTGAGACATCAGGTGAAGATGAAAAACAAGTGGAGAAGATGGTGAACACATTGGTGAAGAATTGGTGTACAAATCTATCTTCAATGGGTACTCGCAGTAACAACTTATTGAATGATGAAGTTTTTATTGACCTTTGAATAATTGTTGTGTAAGCCAATTTTTGATAGGATACTAAGTTCTTTTATCTACCCTTATATGGGTGTTTTGGTTATGATGTTATTGTTGCACCCCAAAATTTTCCATCATGTTTCTAACCCTTATTGGTTATATTTCATTATCACACACACTCATGCATATCCTTGGTTCTATGGTAATGGGATTAAGGCTTCTTGTGACGTGGGTTTTCCCAATTCAAAGAGAAGGGTGTGAAATTCAACGCTAATGCAAGGTTGAATTATTATCATCAGGGTTATGATCTCAAAACACAAGATCATCATTTACTTTAGAGTTTATCAAGAAGATCTCAAGTCAGGGCTTCACAGTGGTTGAGACTATAAAGCCTGGTTCTTTGGGTTCTTCTTCAAGCAGTGAAGGGTGGGATTAGGGTTTATTTTCCTATGTTTGATCAAAGTTAGGGTTTAAGATATTGTGCTACAATTGAGGCTCTTATTTAGGAATCATCAACCATGTGTTAGGGTTTCTATCTTTGTGTTTGAGGCTACTTCAACTAAGGTGTGTTGGCTGAAGATTTTGATAATAGAAGCCAAATGAGTTAAACGTTTTGATCGAAATGGAATTAAACGTCATATTTCGAAGTAGCAGAAGCAGTGTTTCGAATAAGTGTGTCAAAGCTTGGAGCTTCGAGCGGCAATTATGGGAACATATCTAAAGGAGTCTCAAAACAACAGTGAGGCTGTGTCTGGGAAGAGCGTTCGAAACGGAGAAACACCAAAGCATTTGAAATTCAAATGGAAGCGGGACTTTCAAAGTTGAAAGTTATGTGTTGGAGCATTTGGGGACACGTGGAAAGATGAAAGAAGCATTGTCCTGCATGTTCGAAACGTGGCATAATCCTATAGCAAGACCGTTATGGTCGAATTAGTATAAATAGAAGTCTTAGTATTAGGATTTCGTGTGTCATATCTATTATACAAAATACTCAATAACATTCAAACTACCACATGGCAAGGGAAACAAATGCAAGAGAAATGTATGTATGATAGCACCATGTATTTCTGATTTAATGAAAACCTTTTACCATTTCCAGTACTTTCCTTTATTCCTTTTGTCAAACAACATTTACAAGTTTTCTTATTTACAGTCTTTTCACTTCGAAATCTCTTCTTCAAAGTTTTACATTTTGATGTTTTCTTTATATTTCGAGCACTTTATATTTCAGAAAACTGTCATATTTTCCATACCTTTACCTTCAAGTCTTATCATTCGAACGCATATGTTTACTTAAAATCATTTACAGATTTCTTGTATTAAACGCTTTCTTCACATTTCAAACTTTTACGCTCCAGAAATCCTTTATATTAACTGTTTTGTAAGTCGAAGCCATTTACTTCATTTTTATGCAGTTTTACATGTCTTTACAATTAGCATTACAATTAGCATTTATTCGTGTAACTTAGTTTTCACACACATTTTGATTACATCTTTAGACTCTTAGAGAGAGAGAGATCGAAACAAGCCAAACACCTATACAATATCAACCATGAATATCTGTTCGATTGTGAGAGTAACCTTAATATCCAAGGAGTCCTAGGATCAATCTAGTCGATCCTGTGAGTTACCAGAGGAATTGAATAACAGTAAGAAAGATTATTCGATAGTTTGGAAGACTAGCGGTTGTTTACCAGAAATCACTGGAAACAAATTGGCACACCCGGTGGGACCAATAATTGGATATCAGAATTAAGGATTGTTGAGACATAACCATTACAAAAACGTTGGAACCTAAGAAGTTTGCTGTTTTATGAACCTGAGAAGTGGTAAGATAACCAACAGCAACCAACCTTTATCCAGAAGAAAACGTTTGGACAAAATGTCTAATTCAGACAATCAACAAGGGGACCAAAGTGGCCCACATACAACAGGCACTAACGCGTCCACTTCGATCGGAACATCTAATGTAATCCCTTCGAATGCACAGTCTGTTGCATCTTCGACCAGTAACATAGCCACCAATGGAGTAAGTGGCATATCAACTAATAGTTCGATCTTAGGAAATACTGGAACTATTGGCTACCCTGGGGGATTCGTTCCACCATCAGGGACACAATCCCATTTCGCCACCCCATTAACTAGACCACCCGGTTTCGATGGGAATAGAACCAGAAATTCCTCTTATGGAATGCCAACATCTTTTATGGCAGGTTTACACAATTCCACATCGAATTCATCTCCACAACTAGGGTCTGGGTCTGGGGCGAATCAGTTTATGACAAATAACCAAGGGTCGGTGGGTTATAGCACAATGCCTATCCTAACCACAGACAACCAGTTGGCTTTTAGGCAATTGATGGATGACAGTAACCATAACATGATAGGGGTGTTAGCGCAAACCATGCAGGAGATATTTGCCCCAATAGTGCAGAATTTGACTGTGACGAACAGGGAAAACGCTGACAATATGAGTCGAATAGAAGATTTCTTCGCTCCCCCAGAAAGGCGTAGGCAGAATCAGGCGGGATTTCGAACAAACACGCCTGTTATAGAACAAATTGCTAACGACCCGATTTATAGACCACCCAGAGAAGAAGTTAACTTAGGGGCCAGGGCACCAAGGTTAGAAGCCCCAATAATCCCGGGCCCACAAAGGGAAATTATGGAACCAGGGGCAAGGGTAGAAAGGCTAGAAGCCCCAGAGGTTCCGGAAGAACAACCTAGGGGAGTTGTTTTGGTTGGTCGAAATCAAGATGCCGATGCCGTCGTTCATAGAATTCGAAACGATAACATCTTGGCAGAAAACAACCTAACCACCATGATAGAGAGGGTCATAGCCCAGAATGGCCTCAACACAGGAATGAGGAGGCCAAATTACGCTTCTCCTATATTGGATTGCATAATGCATACTGATTTACCAAGGGGATATAAAGTCCCTAAATTTACAAAGTTCGATGGGGATACCAATGAATCAACAGTCGAACACATAGCGAGATATCTAACCGAAGCGGGAGATATAGCCAATAATGAAGATCTCAGGATCAAATACTTCCCAAGTTCCTTGACAAAAAACGCCTTCACATGGTTTACCACTTTGCCTCCCGGGTCTATTGACACTTGGGCTCTCTTAGAGAGATTATTCCATGAACAATTCTACATGGGACAGTCGAAAATAAGTTTGAAGGAACTGGCCAATGTTAAGAGAAAGTTCACCGAACCCATAGATGATTATTTGAATAGATTTAGGCTTTTGAAATCCAGATGTTACACAGTAGTGCCTGAACATGAGTTAGTCGAAATGGCCGCTGGTGGCTTGGATTATTCTATTCGAAAGAAACTAGACACTCAGTATTTGAGGGATATGGCTCAGTTAGCCGATAGGGTTCGACAGGTCGAAAGACTAAAGGCCGAAAAAGCCAGAGTCTTTAAGAATAGCAAGAAAGAAAGGATTTCCTATGTTGGGACTGAGGAAGCAGAAGAATATCCTGAATTCGAATTCGAAGAGGTCGAAATTGACCTCGCTGAATTAAAACAGGCCCCGCCTTATTCCTGCAAAATGTTAGTTCCCACAAAAGGGAAAGATATTGTTGAAAATGAAAAAAGTGACAAATTTCCAAAGAAGGTTTATACCTTCGACGTCACTAAATGTGACGAGATTTTTGACTTACTTGTCAAAGATGGCCAACTAATTGTGCCATCAAATGTCAAAATACCTCCTTTGGATCAGAGAAAGAAGAGGGGATTTTGCAAATATCATAGTTTCCTAGGCCACAAGACCTCACAATGTTTTCTTTTCAGGGACCTGATTCAAAACGCGATCAAAGATGGCAGACTAAAGTTTGCTGATAAGGCGAAGATGAAAGTGGACGAAGATCCCTTGGACGTCGCAGACACCAACTACTCCGAGCCTGCATGCATTGGAGAGGTCAACATGGTGGAAACTGATCAAAGCGACGCCCTAACAGGAGAGAAGGGTACTGGAGTTGAAAACTGGGTGATGGTCGAAGTCAGCGAGGAGGTCACTGAAGACATCCAGAATACGCCAGAGACTTCGATTGCTGCACCTGTAGCTGTTGCAGGAGAAACCCGGGCTACTGAAGGCCAGGGAAATCAAAACCAAGAATTAACACAAGTCACTGAAGGCTTGAGGATGGAATTGGAGAAAATCCAAATCACGCAGCCAATTCCCCCTCAGAAGGAAATATGGGATACTCTAGGGGAACCCAGTGGAAAATTTGACTATTTGGTCAAATATTCTGCCCCAGAGAGTTCGAAGGTTCAGATTGAGGATATAAAACCCACAGGATGGGGAGATGATGAAGCTAAAGAGGGAGATGTAGAAATAAATATGGTGGATATGGAAAGGCCTCGCTCTGAGATGGAGGAAGTGGAAAAATACTTAGAAAAAGAAAAGTATAGAATGGGGGATAATCACACTGGAGATGCTAGTCTCAAAGATTATCTCATGACATGCCACAAAGGAGATTCAGGCATGATATTGTGCCCTAGGTGCAGCATCCTCTGCAATCAAAGAATTGCTGCGAATTTCGAAAGGGTACAGAGGGCTCGAACTGGCAACAATTAGCGCCAGGATAACCAGCTTTTCAGGTGTTATCCCAAGGCTGGGGAAAGTTTGCTGGAGTTTGTGTTTCGCTGCTACAAAGGGGCAACCAAGTGCTTGATTTGCCCAAGGTGTTCTGCTGTGTATGACCAAAGCATGGCCAGGGCCTTCGAAACGATTCCCTTCGCCCCTTGCTGGAACCATCAAGAAACTGCCCAGATGGGCCCACGTTTCGACAGCAGACACAAACAGCGAAGGCCTGATAGCCCTCACCCCAAGGCTGCTCGAAGAGTGACTTTCAAACTCCCTACTGAAGTGCCAACCGATAGATGGTTACAAGTCAGAAATGACAAAGGCAAAGATAGATGGAGAAACGCTGAACGAAATGCACGCCATGCTGTGACATACAGGAGGCAATTCAACACACAAAAAAGGGAGGAAGTGAGATTAGAGAATTACAAAGGA